CTCTGTGTCCACAATTGACTATTCATATACAGCTTTACACAGATGAAACCCCGCTGGCCAGTATTGCACACACAGATTTCATTGAGCTGGTATTCCGACTCGGAGTCAGGCCAACTCGCCCAGACATCGATGATGTCCCCAGGCTGACTGATCCTGTCTGGAACTTGGCAGAACTGTGCTGGACCCACAGTGCTACAGAACGGCCGACAGCAGGAAAGATCCATGATATAATTGTGGATATGATCTCGCAAATGCCCCGAAACATTCTTCAGGCTGCACAGATTGAGAGAACTACAAGCAGCAAACATGTCAAAGTGTCTGAGCATTTCTCCACAGAACCTGAGGAGGGCCTCGCAGATCTTGAGAGGGCAGCAAGGCCAAATTCTGATTCTCTGGAGAAAAAAAAGGTCTTGGGGGAAGACCATCCTGACACCCTGCTGACCATGGAGAACCTGGCCTATACCTACTTCAAACTGGGACAACACAAGGAAGCAGAAGAGCTTCGGGTGACATTGATAAAGAAGCAGAAACAGGTCTTGGGGGAAGACCATCCTGACACCCTGCTGACCATGGGGAACCTGGCCAGTACCTATTCCAGTTTGGGCCAGTTCAAAGAAGCAAAAGAGCTTGAGGTGATGGTGATGAAGAAACGGAAGCAGGTCTTGGGTGAAGACCATCCTATCACCCTACTTACCATGGTGAATCTGGCCCATACCTACTCCAAGTTGGGACAACACAAGGAAGCAGAAGAGCTTGGGGTGACAGTGATGAAGAAGCAGAAACAGGTCTTGGGTGAAGACCATCCTGACACCCTGCTGACCATGGGGAACCTGGCGAGTACCTACTCTGAGTTGGGACGAGAAAATAAGGCAAAAGAGCTTAAGGTGACAGTGATGAAGAAGCAGAAACGGGTCTTGGGAGAAGACCACCCTGACACCCTGATCACCATGGGGAACCTGGCAAATACCTGCTCCAAATTGGGACAGTTTAAGGAGGCAAAAGAGCTTGGGGTGGCAGTGATGAACAAGCAGAAACAGGTCTTGGGGGAAGACCATCCTGATACCCTGCGGACCATGCACAACCTGGCCCTCACCTACTTCAATTTAGGTCGATACAAGGAAGCTGAAAAACTTGGGGTGACAGTGATGATGAAGCGGAAGCAGGTTCTGGGGGAAGACCATCCTAGCACCCTGCGGACCATGGACAGCTTGGCCAGTACTTACCTCAAACTAGGGAAATTGAATGAGGCAGAAGAGCTGGCCATGACAATTTCCCAAAAGCAGAAACAGGTCTTAGGAGAGGCCCATCCTGAGACCCTTTGGACTATGAAAACTCTCACTCACATATACAAGAAGCAGGGCAAGTCTGCTGAGGCTCAATCACTGTCTGATACTATCAAGAGGATCGAGATCCACCAGGTTAGTTGCTATCCTTCATCATTGAAGTTGTTAAACCATTAATGATGATCATAGGAGTCACACGGATCTGCTTATAAGAAGCAGGGCAAGTCTGCTAAGCCTCAATCGCTTTCTGATACTATCAAGAGGATCAAGATCCGCCAGGTTAGTTGCTATCCTTCATCCCAGTCAAGTTGTTAAACTGTTAATGACCCTAGAAGCCAGACGGTTCTGCCTAGTGTCCTATGAAGTATGCCAATGGAAATCTTTACCATAGTCACAGTGTACTTTGAATGATCAACGTAGATAAATCATGCCCATCATTCAATTTGTAGGGGAAATAAGGAACCTGGATTTTACAAAGCACTTAAGTGACAGTGATGCTCAGGGCTATGACCTCGGATTTGAAAAAAAAAAAAAAAAGTAGTTAGAGATGTTGCTTTATGGCTGCACACATATTACCAGGTGCCCAGATGCGTAGATCCCATTATGTATTTACTATACTGGAAGGGGATAATTCATATGCTGGCAACGAGATATCACTTTTTCCCACTGCAAAGTTATATTTTTATTTTCCCGCCGCACTCCCAAGGTTTCTCGCCAACATGATTGATAGAACAATTCTTGGAAACTGCTACATCATTGCCTACACTACCTACTGTAACAATCTGTGAAACTTCGCCGTTCCTGTTGGCAGTTTTTTGGATGAGCCGAGAGTAACACTGTGTTCCCAAGCAAAATTCTACGCGCCCTAGGCAAATACTTGACATCATGGTCTCAGTCCGTCGCAATACAGCACTGGTAGCCCGCAAAACGATATAGAAACGGTTGAGGATGGAAAGTCATATGGGCTGATTGCTCCTCATTAGTGTCAACCCAATTGAGTATGCCGGGATCACCGGTGTTTGCGTTCTGCACCGCCTCTACCCTTTCGTTCTCAGTCGAGTCCGTTTTTTTTCCACCATGAGACGCGAAACCCTGGGCCTAATTTACCAGTCCTACCTGAGGGTGAACGAAGCTGAAGTGTTGCTCCATTTACAGAAACGTATCTGGCTACAAATCATAGTACGGAGAAGTATAGGAGAAATACTAGAATTGTCTCAAGAGGAGCTTGGAGGAACTTTCGCCTCTATTGGCTGTTTCCTACAGCATCCTGCGGCGTAGGATAAGCGTCCCGAATACCCCCAGCATTGCCCCTGCAGCCAGTGTCGCTCCAACAGAATACGGGTTCACATCTGATCCGCTGATCCACCCAGCCAGAATTCGATGGATTTTGCGCCTTGTTTCGCAACCACCCTTCGCTTCGTCCTCGAAAGTAGAGATCTCCGGCGGTATGGACTTGCGAACCACGGTGTAGCAGACTGAGCAAATGTGCGTGGTATTTCCCTTGTGCTCCCGCCCACAACACGGATGGGCTGGGGCGAGTCTCCCACATGCTGTGCGTCGCCGGCCGCCTTCATTATCGCCAGCGGGCATCTATTTCCCGGTGAATCCGAGTCAGCACTCAGTCGGAAAGCGAGACAAGGAGGCCAACCATCGCGCCCGGCCGTAACCCTGCCAGATCCATGGAATTTGGATATGTGTCCTAGATATGCGAATGAATTGTCTGTACGAAGGAGAGCGGGCCGAACGAACGATCTCGGCGTACACTGAATCTCCGGCAAGTGAAGACTCTTCGAAAGAGACCTCGGCGTCAACAGCTATGATTGAGAACGTAGCGCGCGACGGTATGCCTCTGAGCTCGAGGAGCTTGGCATAAATCTGTCGAGCCAACGTAACCTCGGGGCTCTTCGATACTCGGTTTATCGCCCGTTGGAGAAAAATGTACAAAATAATGTGGCACGAGACCGGGATGTACCAGTAATCTGTAGGTCCCTCGCACGGTGGCGTCGAAGTAAATCGCACAATTACGGGTGTTCTGTGCTGATGGGTTTTCTTGTAGGAAAAGATTCGGTAGGCGCCGTCGTGGTTGACGACCATTGTTGGCTTATTGCAATATAGTTCATAAGACTCTTTGTCTTCGGAACGAAAAAATGGTATCAGAGAATAGTGGTTCTTGTAGCGAAGAAGTTGGGGGGAGCGACTGAACTCAAGCTCGCTGAAAATCTGGCCCCAACGATGTGGCGTCCGCAAAGGATCGCGGTCCTACCAAATGACGACGAACCTGCCATACGGCTGCCGAATCGGTGGCACCCTTAAGCTTGCCCGTGATCCACTCAAGAACGGGCATCGGAGGCGAGAGGACCAGACGTCCACATGTAAAGTACCCTAGATGACAGGTGGGGCATACTAGTGAGTGAATGTTAATGCTAAATAATGGAGCTCAGCAGACAAGACGAACGAATGATGCCGTTCGTAGCCGCCTTGCGACTGTAGGGCTCTGTCGGGTCCAGTAATCCGAGGGAGACTGCGTCGGTGACCTGCGGGCTCACGCGTAAGTCCAGGCTAGTCAATACGAGCACTACCGCCCAACCTGCTCCGCGCCAGCCTTCGATGCATCAAAAAGGTGTGCACAGTGGCTCCCTTCAACTGGAAGTGGGTTGAGACAAATGGTGCAAGTCCAATTGTAGTTTTTGCGTAGGCGGGCCTTGACACTGGGGGGGAAGCTCTCCGTCATGGAAGCAACAAGGAACTATGCAGTTACTGTGTTTTAACTTTTAAGAAGATGGTTACCATCTCAAATCAAAGAAGCCGATATGTTGCTGAGTTAACGTACTTAGGCGCCGCTGTATATATACGACGCATCTACCTCAGGGAAGTAACTTGAGTTATAAAACCCAAGTACGACTTCTGCAGTACAAATTTACCTCCAGGCCGACAGCTGGTTGCTCGTGGGACGGCGATGTGCGCGTTGCGGTAGTCCAAAACAGCCCGATAAACCGTCAACTGATGCGCTATTAAATAGGCGCACCGCACCAACACCGCACGCCCATGAAGCGGGTTCACTTGCTGTGGAAGTCGTGCTTTCGCTGCCTGCCTCGCTCGAGCGAGGCCTCAGCCATCTGTGTTGCATCAGGTGGCGAACTCCTCGAGGGGGACTGGCCGGTCATAGTCTCTCGTAGACACGCTTCAACTAAGCTCATACCTCATACGAGAATGGGACTCGGAACAGTGGGACTCCCATCGGCCATCACTGCATCAGCAATGATCGGCAACTTTTCGGCAGGTTTGCGCAGGCTCCGATATCGGAGTGGCCCACCCCACCAGCGTCCTATCCGTTTAATCCCGTAACGATTGCCCCGGAAGCCCTTGTGCTTCTCGTCCTGAAAAATCGCGGACTTTATTGCATCGCAGACGGTGGTTTAAAAGTCAGGGTGATGTTGAATCTCTGCGAGTTCGCGGGCTGGCCATGGGGATTTACGAGAGGTTCAGAGGCGTGCTGAGTACCAATCTCACGGATTCAGGCGGGGCCTCGCTGCACAATTTTTTTTCGCTCTTTCCTTCGGCCTTGGGCTCGCTGCAAGTTCAATTCCCCTGCATCCACTAGGAGGGCCGCGCCATTTATTTCCCTTCGCCGCAAAATGGATGCGAGGCGAGGATGAGTTTCGCTGGCCTCTGATGGTTTTTCTAACACTCAGCCGGGTGCAAAGGAAGGGGAGAGACTCGGACGTGGTGCACGGTGCACGCCTGCTCTTCTTGCGTATTCTACGAGTAAGTGTGTGGGTAGCCTGGGTTCGACTCCCAGCGTCTGAATGGGCTTTGTGTTTGTCTTTTTTAGTTTCTGCTCGTCCCTAAACTGATTCCGACCGACGACGGTCTATCGGAGAATTGTCTCTCACGGCATTGAAATGGGATTAACTTTTTAGTTGCGTCACCGGACGCTTGCGGCTGAGCGGTAATCAAAGTCGCATTTTCGCTGGTACGAGTGCTAATGCTGCTAATTTCGTGGCACTTACCCACGTACGGAGGAGGGAGAGGAACTCGGACGTGGTGTACGGCGCACACCCGCTCTCCTTGATGAGACGGTAGAGGAATCGTCGAGGCGGGAGCCCTGGGTTCGACTCCCAGCGTCCGAATATACCATTATTGAGCTGGTGTTTCTTTTTGCGTTTTCCTCCCTCTTGTAGATCCATTTCATCCTGTTTTATTGGGCGCACTACAACCATAACCCCGCGTTCCAGCGAATCTGCCTTTCAGGCACTGGCCCTACCAAGCGGGTGCGCGAGTTGGATCGGGACACTAAGAAATGGAACACAACGGTTGTTTGAAACGTAATTGTTGCAGGTCATGTAATCCAGTTCGGCGCTTCGAGTTTCGTGAACGTTTTCTAACGTATGTCATTATCTCCGCGTGAAATTATAGAGGTGCAAAATAAACTTTAACTGGGTCACTCAGGCTTGACGAATCTACGATCGTCCTGGTTCGGATAGCGAGCTGATAGTGAATGGAGTGTAAAGGTTTCATCTAGCAAGAAATATTCGGGCCGCCTGTGGCAGATCTAGTTGAAAAGCTTAGAAAAGAAGAAAGAACCATGACTCGGAGGATTGAGGAAGGCATCGGAACAAATCGGAAACGCCCTACATTGTTTCCCTCCGGAGCCACAGCCAAACACTCCTGCTTTTCCCTTGCATCTTCCTTTCATCCTCAGCGAGCCTCGTTGCTCGGGCTCCCTTAAAAACCAGCTCCTCTGATATCGAGCATTAGTGACTCTAGCGCTATCCATCCCTGCTTGACGGCGGTTTCATTTTTCAAAATCCCCGGCGCCGATCGGCGACGTCATGGACGGCTTCAGCTTCCACTCGCACCGCACGCAGCTCGTCGCGACCGCAATAGCGGCCTCGGCCGCCACCGCCGCGCTGATCTCCGCGTACACAACACTCTCGAGGCGCACGCGCCGGCGGGACCTCGACCAGGACATCCTGCGCTCCATCTCCTCCAGCGCAGGGGGCAGCGGGACCCCCCTCTTCGACGGAGCGGGGAAGCGTCCACATGAGGGGGAACGCGTGGCTGAGATTCTGGCGTACGACGAGGAGCTGATACGGGAGCAGCTGGCGCGGAACTATGCGTTCTTCGGGGACGAGGCGATGGCGCGCATCCGCGGGAGCACGGTCGTCGTCGTCGGGTGCGGCGGCGTGGGTAGCTGGGCTGCGGTGATGCTTGTTCGGTCGTGCGTCCTCCCATTTTCTACTGGTTTTTGTCGATGTTGACTCTTCCTTTACACAGCGGCGTGTCGAAGATCAGGCTAGTGGACTTTGACAACGTCTCGCTGTCCTCGCTCAACCGCCACGCGACCGCAGGCCTCGCGGACGTCGGCACGCCCAAGGTCAAGTGCATCGCGCGCGCCCTGCAGGGGATCGCGCGCTGGGTGGACGTCGACGCGCGCGTGGAGTTGTGGCGCAAGGAGGATGGCGGCGCGCTGCTAGAGGGCGCGGACTGGGTCGTAGGTGCGCAATGCACCCCCTGCTCGAGCGGCAGCCGGTTGACTGTACCGTTTATGCACACAGACGCGATTGATAATATACAGACAAAAGTAGACCTGCTCAAGTACTGCCACGAGCACGACATCAAGGTGCGTCTCTCGAGCCTCATCGTTCCCGCCCCGCTGACAGCTCCCCACCCGCAGGTCTTCGCCTCCATGGGCGCCGGCGCGAAATGCGACCCTACACGCGTGCAGATCGCCGACATCGCCAACACGGTGTACGACCCCCTCGCGCGCGCCGTGCGGCGGCGCCTCCGGCTCCTGGGCGTCGCATCGGGCATCCCCGTGGTCTACAGCACGGAGGTCCCCGGTGACGTAAAACTCCTCCCCCTTCCCGAGGAGGAGTTCCAGAAGGGCGCCGACGCGGTGCGCGAGCTGGGCGTGCTCGATGACTTTCGCGTGCGCGTGCTGCCCGTGCTCGGTGCGTCCTATGGCCATCTTAATTTTAATATTTTGGGGCTCACGCCGCACGCAGGCCCGCTACCGTCGGTGTTCGGCCTGCATGCCGCGACGTACGTGCTCTGCGCGCTCGCAGGCAAGCCAATCGCGAACCCGCTGCCGATCAAAAACAGGCGAAAGCTGTACGAGCGCATGCTGCGCGACCTCCAGCAGCGCGAGGCGCAGCGCGCAGGGGACAGCGGGCATCCCAGGTGCGTCCAGCTCCAGCGCCCACTCTGTTTCCTTGTTGGCTTCCGGCGCTAACGCCCGCCTACTCGCAGCCGCCTTCCGCTCGACGAAGACGACGTCGCGCTCCTCTTCGAGGACGTGCACCGCGGGCGCTCCGTCCTCCCGCCGCACCTCGTCCCCGTGCGCCCCACGCTCGTGCGGTGGGACCCGCGCGCGCCGCTGGGCGTGCAGAACTGCGTCGTGATGGAGGCGGGCGATGCGGCGAAGCACGAGGCGGCGAGTGCAGAGGCGCATGCGAAAGGGGAGGTGTGGGGCGCGGAGGTGCAGGCGGTGGTGGAAAGGCGGAGGAGGGAGGTGGAGAGGGTCGTGGAGTGGGTTATGTAGCTAGAGCCATCTTGAGGATACACATTGTAGCGCACGGCATAATTCACCCCGACTCAATATCGCCTCGCCTCCACAGTCCAACTGAACTCCGACGAAGCTGAAAAACTTTCTTTCCATTTTAGGAGTCTAGCGCGGTTCAACGTCCAACATTCAACGTTCGATCTCACGATATAGTCTGATTCACTCACGGTCAAGTTCCATTTTTCAGGCCAAGAGGGCCGGAACTGAAAGAGAAAGAAAAAAAATAGACGATGGAATGCCCGCTATTCGGACGCTGGGAATCGAACCCAGTCTTCCCGCTCTAAGCCAAGTGTGGAACTTGCCGATTTAGGGAAGGCGGGTGTGCGCCGTGCACCACGTCCGAGTCTCTATACTAGTTATGCACCAGGCAGTGTGCTACTCTCGGCTTTATCAGTTACAGTAGCGACATTATTCAGCTAAGAGGCGAATAACAGAGAGAGAGAAGAAGTCCCGCAAACGCAAATTCGGACGCGGAGAATCGAACCCAGCTCGAATAGACGAAGCAGGTGTGCACCATATGCCACGTCTGAGTCTCTCCTGTATGCGTGGGAAGGAAGGAAGGAAGGAAGGAAGGAAAGAGTTGAAATCTGCAACATCCGTACGGAAAAAAAGAAATGAAAATACAGGTTGGGATTTTGAGGCACCGACAAGTCCCCAGTGTCGCGTGAAGATCCGAAACCTAGTACGATACTATCGATGTATTAAGAAGAAAAAAACTTGAAGACCAATTCGGACGCCGGGATTCAAACCCAGTCCTCCCAGGTTGAAGTTGAAGAAGAAAAGAAAACGCTGGTGTCAGTTATTACGCATAGCGACGTTCCTTCATGAAATTCAAAGCCCCAGACACTGTTTACATGAGCCGTAAAGATGACGATTCATTGCTACCTAAACGACCTTCGTGACCCATTTATTAGTGTCTCTGTCCAACGCGCGCACCCACTTGGTCGGGCCGGTGCCTGAAAGGCAGATTCGCTGGAACGCAGGGTTCTGGTTTTTGCGCGTCCAACAATAGAGGATACCGCGGATGTTCATCTCGTCCTCAGTATTCTCTAGTTCAACGAGCTCCTCGTGGGTGCGGACGACCTCGCTCTGAACCGTCGGGTTTTCCTGGATGAGCGGATTATCTCCAGCTTCGATATGCAGTCCTGATGCCTACTCTTGTCATCAATACGCGAGAAGAAAACGCAGTGCAGGGCCGAAACGACGCGTACCATATTCTGTGCAATCTCGTCAATACTTTCTGGTGCTCCATTAGGTCTCTCCGTCGGAGGAACGCGGAGAATGCTGATCTCCCGCAAATGGGTGAGGAGAGGAAGAAATTCAATCCCAAGGTCCGCGATCGATTCCTACATTTTACAATCAGCATGCGATGAACCGAACGGGGGGGATTGGAGTGAAATAGACCTACATCATCGGATGGTTCCCCTTCCTCGTACGTGATGTCCAGGTGCTCGCACTGTCGTAGGGAAAGGACCACGACCCGCACGACCTCGATGCTCCAGTACGGGAGCGCCACTGAGAGTCGCCGCACCGGCGCTTTTCGCTCTGCCAAGAACTCGATGAGGTCGATAGCCCGCTTGCTTGCCTGTCTGATGACGACGTCCTCGACGATGTGAGAGGTGGAGAGGTCAAACTTCCCCGAGTCAGGTGAGCCGGTCCCTGCATAGACGATCTCTCGACGCTCGCACCGAGTGAGATGAAGCAGAGCCCGTGCGACCTGGGAGCTCCAACCCGGGAGCTCCACTGAAATGTGCTGGACGAAAATCCGGCGTTTTTGCAGGAAGTGGATAAATTGTATGGCGTCCGAGTCCCCCTGCGCCGTTACACGGACATCCTCGAGGTCTGGGACCATGCCGAGGGCGAGCTGGCCCAGCCTCGCTGCTCCGCTAAAATGCGTTAGGTGCGGCAGCCTTGGTGGCTCCCCCAATGCTGTGGACCCGTGGTAAAAAGTGTCATGGCGAGGCGCGTCGTTAGTATTGACGGAACACAGGTACGCTGTGAGACGTGTGAGCTGTGGCATAGCGCGGAGAACTTTGCAGAAGTGGGCTTCCGCGTAGAAGATAGCGGAAGCGTCGAGTATATTCGGCACTCCGATTGTCAGCGATGTAATCGCGGAGGCAAGAATTTCGGTGGGAAGGTGACAATCGTCGATGTGAAGTGTGCGAAGGCCAGGAAGGAGGGAGAAGAGACCGGCACATCGCACGGTCTGGGGGTTCCAGGGCTGAATGAGGCTCAAAGGATATTTGCGTAGGCGAACCTTGACGGATGTGATATTCGACGTGTATTCGGAAGGGGCAGGTAGCGCAACCAGAGCCGGGGCCAGGGCGCAAAAGTCCAATGTGAGGTGCGTGAGGCTGGGAAGTCCACGAAGCACATCGACGAGGTTCGCCGGAATATTGACACCGACGAAAGTCAGCGCTCGGAGATTTGGGAGTTCGCGAAGCAGAGCAGGCATGTTCTTCAGTATATGCCCGCCGAGGCAATGCACCGCCAACGCCTCCAGGTTTGAGAAAGATCGAATGCGTTTAAAGACGTGTTTAACCTGATCTGCTATCGTCAGGACGTTGAAATGATACTACAATATCGCTTGTCACTCACTGCGTGTTAGTCCCGGGTTTCCGTAGTAGTTATCGTGAGGGTGTTCGAGGCAAACCGACAAATCGCGGTGAAGGACTGGGTTGTGCTCCCAACGACGCGCGTGGGCCAGCAGCATTCTAACCGGCCTATGCCACGTTATATCGTGTAGAAGCACATCCCACGCCAAACTGGCGAAGACGCGGCAGACCAGCCGGACAGATTTCAATGTTGCGCGGTCCATGCTCTGGAAAGACGCCAACCATATTTCGTTGGGAAAGGATCGCCCTGGCATAGGGAAGTAACCAAAGTGGGACAAGATTTGGACAACACATCAACACGTTGCCAACCATTTATATATGACTCGGTGGTTGATGCCGATGTGAACGCGCAGCAGCCGACACTTTCGACCAGATTTTACTCAAGTGGGGCCTCATATTTTTCATGAAAAACAATTTTCATCAGTTGCTAAACTGCTCTATTAATGATTAAAGCCTGTTTCAACAGCTTGATTGCCGCTTTCTTGGGCAGAATCGGAGCCGAAGTCACGACCACCTCCAGGTAAAAAGGAAGTAGAAATCTAAGCCTGCGAGCTCGAATTGATTGGCTATGCAGGTCCCAAGATAGTTGCCGATGAGAGACCCTTGAAAACCCAGGCTTTTCCCCATAATTTCGGATCCCAGTTGTTTATTTCTGTGTGACAGTAGCCTAGGCGCCCAGACAAGCGAGATGGGTATCAGGAGTTTTACGGGATTCCGGTTTAAGTATAGTCAACGCCGCGCCCAGTCATTTCAGGAAAGTCCCCGCATCGTTGGGGGCGGTACCATACAGACGAAACGGCAAAAAGCAATCCGAAGAAATAATCGCGGTGAATGTCGCTGCAGAGGATCGAAGTCCAACAAGCGCCGGGGTAGATGGTGTGGAGGTTGTACGAGACCCGACCAAGTTTACGTTACATATATGAGGCGCCAGATTTATATCACAGTCAATTAGGGCGACACTCAGCGACACAAAAAAGCTCGCCGCATAGAGCGTGGGAAGGGTCAGGGATGGGATAAAATTTTCGTCCCAGTGTTTTACATATCGGAATTGTATCGGAATCCATTTCGAATCAGGAAAATGTTGGTGATAGGTCTAGGGCTCTCACCCGTTCCCGTAGCCCACGGGTTCGCGGGCCGTTTTACGGGTCCGGGTCCCGGCCGTAGAGCCACAGGTTGGATTTCTCTACGGGACGGCTACGGGACGGGTGTATCCGTAAACGGGTCACCCGTAACCGGCCGTCTACGGGTTGTACGGGTTAACCTATAAATGAACGAAATTAGGTAGAGGGAGCGGTGCGTACCAGCCTAAAGTGAGCCCAAATGTGCTTTCGTGACCCCCAATAATTCATCGGGCTTCACAGTTCTCATTGATGGTGTGTCGACCTTTGCTAATGGCTAGTGTTAACGTCGCGATTACAAATTCAAATAGTCCTCAACTTGAATCAGGGGGTTTCAAGAGCCAGATGTTGGTTTTATATGCATTGAGCAAGATTTTGGGGTTTTCATAGTTGAAACCATCGAACTTCGCAGCGAACGACGAGCTTGATACTCTCCGTGGTCCCCATCAAAATTCAAGAGTCGTTGCTCCCCGAGTCCCCGAGAAGATTTCGCTAGGTCAGGTGTTTAAAACATCTATGGGAGCATTCTAACTTTCATTTGGGAGTGCCTGGTGCGCACACAGCGGTCCCAAGACGCGACTGAAATCCCTAAAAATGAAACGTGCGACCAGACCCGTCGCTACGGCCGTAACCCGCCGTACGGCCGGGACCCGGCCGTAGGGGCCCCCAAGGACTTTCTCTACGGGTCGGGTACGGTACGGGTCAGGCCACAAACGGCCGTAAATACCCGACCCGTCGTACGGGTCGGACGGGTTAGAGCCCTAGATAGGTCCTGAGCCAAACCCCCTGCTCGCGCACCGAGGGGTCGTACGTGTGAACGATATCGGCGATCTGCACGCGTGTGGGGTCGCACTTTGCGCCGGCGCCCATGGAGTCGAAGACCTGCGGATGGGGCGGTCAGCGGGGTGCTCGAGAGACGCACCTTGATGCCGTGTTCGTGGCAGTACTTCAGCAGGTCTACCTTCGTCCGTATATCATCGATCTCGTCTGTGTGCGTAAACGGTGGAGGCAACCGGCTGCCGCTCAACCGGGGGGTGCATCGCACACCTATGACTCAGTCCGCGCTCTCGAGCAGCGCGCCGCCGTCCTCCTTGCGCCACAGCTCAACGCGCGGGTCGACCTCCACCCAGCGCGCGATCTGCCGCAGGGCACGCTTGATGCACTTGACCTTGGGCGTACCGACGTCCGCGCGGCCTGTGGTCGCGTGACGTTTGAGAGCGAGGACAGCGTACTAGCCTTATCTTCGAGACACCGCTGTGTGCAAAGAAAGAGTCAGCATCGACAGTCCAAAAACAAAGAAAAGGGGATTTGGGGACGCAGACCAGACAAGCATCACCGCGGCCCAGCTGCCCACGCCGCCGCACCCGACGACGACGACGGTGCTCCCGCGGATGCGCGCCATCGCCTCGTCCCCGAAGAACGCTTAGTTCCGCGCCAGCTGCTCTCGTATCAGCTCCTCGTCGTACGCCAGACTCTCCACCATGCGTTCAGAGCGTGGTGTATGCAGATATCAGCGCGGCGGGGCTGCCGAGGCTGCCATGGCAGTCGCGACGAGCTGCGTGCGGTGCGAATGGAAGCTGAAGCTGTCCGTGACGTAGGCGGTCGGCGCCTGGAATTTTGAAAAAATGAAGCCGCGGTCAAGCAGGGATGGATAGCGCTACAGTCGGTAATGCTCGTTGTCAGAGTAAATTTGTTTTGGGAGCCTGAGGCTCGCTTAGGATGAGGGCAAGATGCAAGGGAAAAGCAGGTCTGGGTGTGGAATCCGACAAGTGGAATCAATGGAAGGCGTTTCCGATTTGTTCCGATCACTTCCTGAACCCTCCGAGTCCTTGTTCTTTCTTCCTTCTCCTCAAGTTGTCAACTAGATTTGCCTTAGATATTCTTGCTGGCTAGACGAAACATTTGCGCTCCATTTACTATGCGCTCACTATCCAGAACAGGATCATATGTAGATTCATAAAGCGGCTACCAATGCCTGGGTCAGGTGGACCCTGTTGAACTTTTCTCTGTTTCATGCAAGGATAATGGCATACAGGACGTTCATTCACGAAATTCAAAGCTCCGAATACGAGTTATGACGGCAATACTTTCTAACGACCGTTGTGTTCTATTTCTTACCTAGTGTCCCGATCCAACTCGCGCACCCACTTGGTCCGGCCAAAAGGCAGATTCCTTGGAACGTGGGTTTACTAGTATGGCTATAGCGCGTCCCACATACAGGATGCAATCGACCTACCAGAGGGAGTAAAACAGAAAACATAAAAAGGATCGCAGTCTACTTTATTCGGACGCTGGGAGTCGAACCCAGGCATTCCACCTGGAAGTCTCTTGCAGTAACCGCCTCACAGAGGTGCGCCGTACACGACATCCGAACTATCCTCCCTCCTCTGTACCTGGAAAAGGAGGATGAAATCAGTAGCATCAATGCGGGAAAATTCAACCCACCCGCACCGCTCATGATCAGCACATATCGGGCCAAGGCAGAAGGAGCATCGCATACCTTGTACTGTGAAGAATCAATTAAATGGGGAGGGGAAAATGTGTCAATAGTGTTATTCAGACGCTGGGAGTCGAACCCAGGGAGCCTCCTGCATCATACGATCTGGTTCGAACCAGGGGAGCAGGCGTGCACCGTACACCACGTCGTAGTGTTCTGTACCTGGCTAAAGTGCTAGCTGAAATCAGCAGCGTGAAGTTGAAAGAGGGAAAAAGCAGTCCGAGAGCGCATCATTCGGACGCTGGGAGTCGAACCCAGGCTTCCCCCGTTACTTTGAAGTTACCACTGTAACAACTGCGGGCGTGCACCGTGCACCACGTCCGAGTTGCTCATTCTATACCCGGCCAAGTGCTAATGAAATCATCAGCGCGAGCTTGAAATTAAAGACAGCAAAAAGTCAGAGATGCGGCTGACATTCGGACGTTGGGAATCGAACCCAGAGCTCCCACCGGGGTGCTCTTTCCCGGACCAATTGGCACGGGGGCGTGTCGTGCACTACATCTGAGTTCCCCTCCTTACTCTGTGCCTCGCCAAATGCCCAAAATTTTAGAGTCTGAGCTTCTATTTCAAATACAAGAGGGCAAAGAAAGAAAATGAACATCGTCTTCATTCAGCCCAATCTGCGCTCCAATTATCGTCGCAGCATCGAATTATAGTTGTACGGACTGTCAACTCAACTCAGTGAAGACTGGATGCAATAAGTTTACCAGAGGCAGGAAAACACAAGAAGCAACTCCGGAGTCATTCAGACGCTCAGAGTCGAACCCAGGCATCCCGCTCTTAGTTATGGACTCGTCTTTCTCTAAAGAGACGGCGGGTGTGCACCGTCCGATCCTTATTCCCTTTGCATGCCTGGATAAGTGGGATGAGTCAACATGAACTCCTCTCTTGCACCTGTGAAGTAGAAGGAAAATAAATTGGGCACCCTCTCGAGGTTCGAACCACCCTCTCTAAAATAATTACCGAAGCGCAGGTCCATCGTCATCGCAATCAACCAGGAGGTTTCACAACGTCCCCAAAAAAAGAGGACTTGTATTCGGACGCTGGGAGTCGAACCCAGATCTCCCGCCTGGATGTTGTTTCATGAACTATTCTGAGTAATAAGAGCGGGTGTGTACCGTGCACCACCTCCGATTCCTATTCCCTTTCCACACCTGGATAAATGAGACGAAAATTAGGAGTTACAACTTGAAGAAAAAGATATACTTTTCGACAAATCCCCATTCGGACGTTGGGAATTGAACCCAGATCTCCCGCCTCCATATCTCGCCGTGAGCAGCGCCAGGAAGAGCGGGTGTGCACCGTGCACTATGTCTGAATTCCTCCCCTCCTTCTGTTCCAGGCCAAGTGCGATGAAATTAGGACCTTGAACTAACGAGAAAAATGAAACGCCTCTTTCCTATATTCGGATGCTGGGAGTCGAACCCATGGCTCCCACTGGAACGAAGGAAACTTCTTAAAGGGAGCGGGCGTGCACCGTGCACCACGTCCGAGTTCGTAGCCTCGTTAAGCATCTGAATACCTGAGATCGCAAATGGCATGAACTTGAACACAAGAAAGTAAATTCCATCGCTTCATCTCTGGTTTGCTGCCGGGAAGAAAAAAAAAACAGTTGTCCCACCCTCCCGCGGACTTGGATGCGCCGGAGTTACACGAACCAGAAAAAAAATCGAGGGCTCGTCGGCTCGACTTGATCATTCGGACGCTGGGAATCGAACCGTCTCCAAACTTGTCCGAAATCCTGCGGAGAGGGCAGGTGTGCACCGCGCACTATGTCCGAGTTTCTCTCCTCCCTCCGCACCCAAATACATGAGACAAAACTTGGTAGTTGAGCTCGAAGAAAGAAAGAAAGGAATGCTTTGATGGAGTCGGACGCTGGGAATCGAACCCAGGCTCCCGCATCTAAATATTCCAAAATCGACCAGAGAGAGCGGGTGTCACCACATCTGAGCTCCTAGTCCTCTTTTTGCAGCCCTAGCTACCTCCAGGGAAAATCACCAACTTGAAGCTGAAAATGGGAAAAGGAAGCTTACCACGCATATTCGGACGCTGGGAGTCGAACCCAGAGTCCCCGCAACAAGGCGAGATGTGAATGTTATCAGAACAGGTGCCACGGTATTACCCCACGTCCGACTCTTCATGTACCCAGCTAGATGGCAACGAAAATCGTGAATTTGACTTGACGGTCAAGGATAAAAGGAACAATCCATCATTATTTGGACACTGGGAGTCGAACTAAGGGCTCCCGCCTCTAATTACATGTAAAGATTGTTAGAGATGGCGAGTGTGCGCCGTCCGAGCCCCTCGTTAAAGGCTGCTGAGTTCTGTCTTTGCCTTCGAATCGCGTTGCACGGGTGGTCACAGTATACAATAAGTCTTTGACGGGTGAGTGCTATAGAGCTACCAGAGGGAGGGAGATCACCAAACGTCCAAGTTCCCATCTCCGTTCTAGAGCTAGTGAAGTTGGTTGAAAATCGCCTTGGAGAAGGAAAAAGATTAGCAAGAGCTTTAAGTTCCTGCAGACCCTGGGAGTCGAACCCAGGCTTCCCGTATCAATTCTCCCAATAGCAGAAGGTGCACCGTGCATCACGCCCAACCACTCGTGCCAGCTGTGCACTTGAATACATGAGATAAATACTCAGCACGCCTCTGATCCCCTCGCAAATCCCCAGCCCGCGAACATGCAGAGATTCAACATCACCCTGACTTTTGTGCGATGCAGTAAATATTCGATTTTTTCAGGACGAGAAGCACAAGGGCTTCCGAGGCCATAGTTACGGGATAAACGGATAGGACGCTGGTGGGGTGGGCCACTCTGATATGGGAGCCTGCGCAAACCTGCCGAGAAATTGCTGATGTGATGGCACCAGCGCATCATTAGTGGGACTCGTTTGCCGATGGAGTCCCACTGTTCCTGAGTCCCACTCTTCTCGTATAAGGTATGAGCTTCTTAGTGAAAGCATCTATCTACGAGAGTATGACCGGTCAGTTCCCGTCGAGGATTTCGCCTGATGCAACACAGATGGCTAAGGTCACAGCCTGACGACATCGCAACGTTCATTCACGAAATTCAAAGCTCGAAATTCAAAGCCCCACACAAGCCCCGCATATGGTTTACATGAGCTGTAAAGATCATTATCGTCCTAAATAACCTTTGTAATCCATTTACTAATGTCCCGATCCAATGCGCGCACCCACTTGGTCGGGCCAGTGCCTGAAAGGCAGATCCGTTGGAACGCGGGGTTATGGTTATAGCGCGTCCAACAATAGAGGATACCACTGATGTTCATCTCGTCCTCAGTATCCTCTAGTTCAACGAGCTCCTCGTGGGTGCGGACGACCTCGGTCTGAGCTGTCACATTTTGCTGGATGAGCGGATTATCTCCAGCCTCGATATCCGGTCCCGATGCCTACTTTCGTCATCAATACGCGAGAAGAAAGACCCGAACACAGTGCAGGGCTAGAACGACACGTACCATATTCTGTGCAATCTTGTCGATATTTTCTGGTGCTCCATGGGGTCTCTCCATCGGAGGAACGCGGAGAATGCTGATCTCCCGCAAATGGGGGAGGAGAGGAAGAAATTCAATCCCAAGGTCCGCGATCGATTCCTACATTTTACAATCAACATACGATGGAGCCAACGGGGGGAAGGGAGGAGATGGACCTACATCATCGGACAGTTCACCTCCCGCGTACGTGATCTCCAGGTGCTCGCATTGTCGCAGGGAAAGGGCTACGACCCGTACGACTTCAATGCTCCAGCACGGGAGCGCCACTGCGAGTCGCCGCACCGGCGCTTTTCGCTCTGCCAAGAACTCGATGAAGTCGATGGCCGGCTTGCCTGCCTGCTGGATGACGACGTCCTCAAGGATGTGAGAGGTGGAGAGGTCAAACTTCCCCTGATCCGAATCGGTCCCTGCATAGACGATCTCCCTACGCTCGCACCGGGGTAGGCAAAGCAGAATCCGCGCCACCGTAGAGCTCCAAAACGGGAGCTCCACTGAAATGTGTCGCACGAGCGTCCGGCGTTTTTGCAGAAACTGGATAAATTCTATGGCGTCCGAGTTGCCTTGCGCTGTTACACGGACATTCTCGAGCTCTGGGACCATGACGAGGGCCAGCTGGCCCAGCCTTGCCGTGCCGCTAAAATGCGTGAGGTGCGGCAACCGTGGTGGTTCACCCAATGTCACAAACCCGTGATACGCGTTGAATTGATGGTGAGGCGCGCCGCTTGTATTGACAGGACGCAGGTACGCTGTGAGACGTGTGAGCTGCGGCATGGAGCGGAGAACTTTGCAGAGGTGAGCTTCGGCGTAGAATATTGCCGAAGAATCGTGTGTATGCGGGACTCCGATTGTCAGCGATGTGATCCCGGAAGCAAGAATTTCGGTGGGAAGGAAACAATCCTCGATGTGAAGCGCGCGAAGGCCGGGAAGGAGGGAGAAGAGACCGGCACATGGTACGGTTTGGGGGTTCCACGGCTGCACGAGGCCCCAGGGGTATGTCCCTAGGCGGATTTTGAGGTCTGTGATGTTCGAGGTGTATTCAGAGGGGGCAGGTAGCTCAGCCAGAGCCGGGGTCAGGGCGCAAAAGTCGAACGTGAGGTGCGTGAGGCTTGGAAGTCCCCGAAGCATATCGACCAGGTTCGCCGGGATATTCCCGCCGACGAAAATTAACGCTCGGAGATTGGGGAGTTCCCGAAGCACAGCAAATAGGTTCTCCGGTATATGCCCGCCGAGGCAACGCAACGTCAGTGTCTCGAGGTTTGAGAAAGACCGAATGCGTTTAAAGATGTGTTCAACCTGCTCTGCTATTTTCAGGACGTTGAAATGCTACCTACAATATCGCTTGTCACTCACTGCGTGTGAGTCCCGGGTTTCCGTGGTAGTTATCATCGCGGTGTTCGAGGCAAACCGACAAGTCACGGTGAAGGACTGGGTTTTGCCCCCAATGACGCGCGTGGGCCAACAGCATTGTAGCCGGCCTATGCCACGTTATATCGCGTAGAAGCACGTCCCATGCCAAACTGGCGAAGACGTGGCAGGCCAGTCGGACAGATTTCAGTGTCGCACGGTCCATCCGCTGGAAACACGTCATCCATATTTCATTCGGAAAGGATCGTCCTGGATCTGGGTCCATAGCTAGAATGAGGGGAGCAAGCAGCGTGGGCAGAAGGGAACAAGATTCAGACGACACCTTGACACGTTGCCAACCATTTATATATGAGGCGGTGGCTGATCATGATGCTGGGCTGATGCCGATGTGAACGCGCAGCAGTGTCGAGATTAAGTTTAGCGTGTTTGCTGCCTTGGTACACATAATAGGAGTCGAATCTGCAGGTAAACGGCAAGGGAGAAAACCGAGGACAATGTGGGCAGGTAAGCCCAAATTGATTTGATATACAACCGACAAAAGAACAGCCTTCCACTTCATTCCTGTGTGGCAGGAGGCGCTCAAAGAAGCGAAATGGTATCAGGAGTTTTACGAGAGCGGTCCAGGTTTAGTTCAGGGAGTCGTTTCAGAAAAAACGTCCTTCGGAGCAGCGGCCATATTAACAGGATTCAGACCGACAATTGGCCAACAAGCAAAACGAATAGACCAGGGCGCTAAGTAAGCCTGTGAAGCTGTCTTTTGAGCATCGCTCCCGGAGAGCAGTGAAGTTCAACAAGCGCCCGGGGGGGTTATTTCAGGGACAGCGGGATTGGATCGGGCTCATAATGAGCATGGGTGAGGGGTTGTACAAGCCCTGCTCAAGTTAGGTTCCATGAGGAACCAATTTTTATATGTAAGCTTGAAGTCAGTTAAGGAGAGCGACCTCGGGGGTCCGACACAGAGACAGGACCAGTTAGTAGTCCCAACGCACCGGCCCGACGACCGATCCAGGGATAAAGAACACGGCCATAGTTGCCGTCATCGGCATGGAGCCGAACTTTAAGCGCTTTCTTCGGATCCTCAGTAAGAGACCATCAGGTGAGCGACAGATTACATTGGGCGGGATGGGCGGGGAATGATATTAAGGATTTTATTGAGCTGAATGATTGGATGTCCGAATGCGCGCGTCCGAGCCTAGGGTTAAGTTGAATCACTCTCGGCAGACAGAACTATCGGCGCTCGTCTTCTTCTTCCCGCGC